AAGGATGTAAATATAAATATATTTTCTACCTTTTCATTTAAAGTGCAAAACGTGTTCCAAAACAAAACAGGGAAAGAATCCCAAAGAGCAAGACTGAGGAATATTTTTGCAGCTTTTTTTCTAGAAATATTTTTCTGCCTTTACACCTGCAGTCAGAAACATGAGCCAGGTGTCTAACATTTCTATAAGCTGATGAGCTCTGTGTTATTGTTTTCATTTTCGTTCAGTCACTGTCACTGAAGTGCTTCCATGTGAATCAGCGTTGACATCCGTCCCTGAGCACCATGACACGCTGTAACACTGATCTGTATGCATGACGATGTTGCTACCATGCTCATCGGATGTACAGACGGCTATATTTAAAATATCATTATCTTCCAGCTGTCTGTTTTTGTGATGATAGTAACTATTATCTGAAAAGCAGCTCCAGATGTATCCCTGTGTAAGGTATTTTAACTGAGTACTTAACATGTCATAACTTCAGTGCAGCACTACTGACAGGCATTGTAAATGCACAGATGACGTAGTCACTGAGTTTTGCCAGATTTGTTTGAGTATGCTTCAAGCTTTTTCGTCATAATTTATCATCTGTGATCATCTTGTCAAATAACTTTTTTTGTTTGTTTGTTTGTTCTTTTTTAGGTCTTATTTTTCTGTGAGGTCACACTACACATGGCATGCCATTGTCAAACTTCCTGTTTGTGCTTTTATTTTCTGTCACTTTATTGATGTGAATCAGAGAGTCAGAGTAGCCAATCAGAAAGCAGGCCATTGTCTGGCAATGTGACCATTCCTACAAATGTTCCTCTGAGTGATTAAAGTCAGCACAAGTTTAAAGATGCTTATGTTGTTTTTGGAATTTTAGCATAGCATGACAAAGTTTTTAAGGGTCTGCTTTAACTGTACGTCCTTTTAGTTACTTTGTTGTGAATCATTCCAATATTGTCCTTTTTTTCCGCAGAAAGTGTCTTGAGTAACAACTCAGAGATGCATTTGCTTTCAATAAAATCTAATATATAATAGTGGAACATGACGATAATTTGCAATTGCACTCCTCAGAAATGTGCTCTGACATTGTTCCTTCTAGTCAGTGTTTCCTCTCAAGCTGTCTACAGCACCATGTAGTTAAAGTCTGAGTTTTTGTCAATGGAAGCAAAACTGTAATTGCAAACAGTAACAACTGTTTTTCTCAGCCATGCTTCCTGCACAGAAACTGAGGAACTAAAGTCCAGAGAGCTCATTCAAATGCAGAGTTGCAGCTCTTTAACATAATGTGACATTTTCCAGCCTACCTACCTACCACACATATCTGCAAACTGACCTGCATCAAGCATTGGAAACTTGACTTTGCCCTTGGACTTGTATTTGGGTTGAAGATAAACCACTTGAAGGAGTTTGTAAAGCCATGGTGTTTGTTGACCATTCTGTTGGAAACAGGCCTGCAAAGATTAAATCACATTCTTTCTATTAAGTGCTGAAATGGGTTTGTGTTTGTTTACGACAAGCTCACTAACTGTAGTCACAGCCTAAAAACTTCCATTAAACGTGTTTGAAAGCCTTTTTGACTGATACGTCACTGGCATCCTGCCATTATACAGCATTCCATATTGGCAAGTCATTCACCAGTCTTGGTTGTTTCTGTGAAAAACATGCTAGTGAGATGAGAACGTGTTTTAAATTTATGCCTATAAAGACGTGATTTAAGAGATTACAGGTACAAAGGAAACCATTCCGTAGTGCACTGGCAGAATGTTAAAAAAAAAAAAACAGGTTCCAGTATTTGATGAAATGTATTTTTCTCAGCCACTGTATGTTTTGCGCCCACAACCTAACCTTGTACCTTATCATAAGAAACTCAGTGGCCCCACACGCACCCTCCTCCACACAGCTGTGAGCAATGAGCATGCCACCCCCAGCTCCTTCAACATCAACCCTGAATGCGTGCGTAAAAGGCAAGTTTACCGAAACCGTTTGGCAGGGCGGTACACACATACACACACACACACACACATACATACATCAAATCAAACCTTTGGGTAATGGATTAACGCATCCGACAAATAGCAAAATGCACAGCAAAGCTATGAGCTCTACATGTCAATGTAGTGGAAGAAAACACCC